CCTAAAGGTTTTCAGATGCTGCTTTGCTTCTAATGGTTTCCATCCTGCTTGATTAAAGGTTCCTTTTGAAATAATCCGTTTCAAGAGTTTTTACTTTCTTAAGTTAGGAAAGGAGCCATAACAATGCATTTATTTCTGACTCAAACTGCCAATATGGTAATCGTGACATCCGCATAGAGATACGTATATTCAACAGCACAGTTAGAGCCATAGTGGCGCTGTGGTTAGAGTGCAGTACTGCAGGCTGCTGACTGCTGATTGCCAGCAGTTTGTCAGTTCAAGTCCCACTGGGCTCAAGGTTGACTCAGCCTTCCATCCTTCCGAGGTCAGTAAAATAAGGACCTAAATAGTTGGGGGCAAGATGATGACTCTGTAAACAGTTTAGAGAGGGCTGTAAAAGCAATGTGATATATAAGTCTAAGCGTTTATTGCTATTTTCCCTGATGAGCTTCATTCTCCGTTCAGGTTACCGGCTTCAAGATTACAGGTGGAAGGTTATATGCATTTAGATCCCTTTCTCCTATTTTTCTCAGCTCAACAATCAGAGCCTGCTACAAATTCTGCCTTGCATTTCATTATCGCTTGAGTAAGCAGCAGGAATCTTGCCAAGAACATCTTTGGTGGTTTTATTTCTGTCCACTTTTGCCCTTGGTATGGCTCAGAAGAAAGTCTAATCTGCATTTAGTATATTTACTTTGGCTTATCAGTCCTTGAAACTGTTCTGTTTGCAGGGTCTTTAACCTAGGCTCTTGGTTACAGAGTAACCAGGCTTGTAATCACACATGCATCCTACACAGTAGCCTTTATGTCTCAGCAGATATGTCTAGGATTGCCCTTCGGGTCAGGTCTTCTGACACTATCTTTTTTTTAAAAAAAAGAAATCTACATGAATTCATTTGTTCCTTTTATTAGTTTATAACCCAAGAGACATTGGCATTCTATAATGGAGATAAGCAACAGTTTTGAACTACAGTTGTATAATGTACTCATAGGTTGCCAAGTAATTTAAAACAATTTCAAAATGCAGTAGAGGCTTTTTTTAATGCTTAAGATTACATATAGTTCCCAAAGACCTGCAGTGTGATCATTTTGTTTTTAAAAATAATATTTTAAAAAAGCAGAGATAATAAAATCATAATGTGTGCAGTTATTACTCTGGTTCTCAATTCCTCATCTGCATGAAACTTAAAAACAGGTTTGAAACCAATCTACCATTTAAATGCCTTCACGTCTTCAAATAAAAACAAGAAAGTCCAGTTGCCTCTTGAAAAAAAAAGCAACTTTGGAACAACTATGCCCTGGAGGACTGGGAATCTCCATATACATTCCTGCAGGTTATTAAGCTTTTAGGACAGCGTTTTATCACGCCTCCTCCCAGCAAGCATTGTATGCTCAGTTCTAAAATCTTCCTGCTGAACATCTGCCTGCAGTGCAATGCAGCAGTTGGACAGAAGCATTAACATTAACATGTTGCAAAGAGGCATTAACATTCCAGCTAGATTTCGACCATCCTGCTTTCTAAACAATGGCAGGTCTTCTGTCTGTAAGGCTAAACCAATTCCGTGTTAACCCTGGTTAGTTTATTCTTTGTGGCTCATTGTATTGATGGGGTGAACAATAGCAACTGGTGCATAATCTTTGTGCGAATCCAGAAAAGACCGGGGGGGGGGGCTTCAGTCGCTAGTTCAAGTTGAGTTGTCTGAACGTGGCTGCTTTGACGCGCAACCTTCCCTAGCAAAGGTACCTAGAGGTCGCCATGGATACGGCGACTCCCTGGTTGCTATGGCTACGCGGCAAATCCCCGGGCTCGAGCAATCCCAGAAGCCCTCGCGGCGAGCTCGCTTGGGCTACGTTCAAGGAATGGTCGCTCAAATGTCCTACGTCATCAGGACGCGACGTCCAGGGGGACTGTGGAAGCGGGAGCCGGGGCGGCGATGAGCGCGCGGTTCCTGCGAGCCTGGCGGGGCGGGTGGGGCCGGGGCTGCGGGAGGGGCCACACGACCCCCGCGGGAGAGGCTCCGAGGCGCGAGAAGCCCCCCTGGCGAGTCCTCTTCTTTGGCACCGACCACTTCTCCGCAGAGATCCTCCGAGCGCTCCAGGCAGCCCGGTGGGTCTTTGGGCGGGGGGGCAGGGAATGGGAAGGGGGAGGATCACTCCAAGCCCAGCGCCCCCCCCAACCTCAGCTGCTGTGAGATGTGTGGACTTCGACTCCCAGAATCCCCTAGTCAGTCATGGCTGCCTGGGGGGTTCTGGGAGTTGAAGTCCACACAATCCCAAAGGTGCTTTTCCAAAAGGCAACTGTACTTTCTTGGGTAGTTTTCTTGAAAACGTCCAAGAAGAATTGAAGAAGCTTCTTGGATGAGAAGCAAAATGCATGTATCTTGTCTTTTTATGTATACTAGGAGTATCTGCACCAGACAAATTCCTTGTGTGTCTAATCACACTTGGCCAATAAAGAATTCTATTCTGTTCTGTATTCTATTCTATTCTATATTCCATTCCATTCTATTCTGTATTCTATTCTATTCAATGTATTTTGTATTTATTTTAGTTTGTCAGACATGTAAAAGATTACAGATATAAGTATAAACAAATATGAACAGAGTAAATGGATGCAAATAAATGGAGATAATAGGTCAGGGATGGTAGGCACGCTGGTGCACTTATGCACACCCCCTTTACGGACCTCTTAGGAATGGGTTGAGGTCCACGGGAGACAGTTTGAGATTGAAGCTGTAGGGGTTTAAAGATGTAACAGTGGAATCAGGTAGAAGATTGCAGGTGTTGCTGAAGTCGTATTTTCTTCAGTTGAGTTTGGAGCGGTTTACCTTGAGTTTATCTATTGTTTCCCCATGTATTATTGCAGTTGAAGCTGAAGTAGTCATTGACAGGTAGGATGTTGTAGCGGATAATTTCGTGTACTGCGCTTAGGTCAGACCACAGGCGGTGTAGTTCTAGGTTCTCCAAGCCCAAAATTTCAAGCCTGGTGGCGTAGGGTATTCTATTGTGGGCAGAGGAGTGGAGTATTCTTCTCGTGAAATATCTCTGGACTCTCTCGATTGTATTAATTTATTTATTAATAATTGTATCAATGTCTTCAAAGAAAAACCAGAAAGTTTAGTTTTAGTTTATTGTCATTGCACTTCGTACAATAAAGTTAAATGCCATCTTCAGTGTACATTATAGCTATAAAAATCCAACACAAACACAGTTGCCTTTTGGAAAAAGCACCTTTGGGACATCCGTGACCTGGAGGACTGAGAATCTCCATAGACACAAAGAGCAAGCCAATATTATATTTGTTGTCTGCTTAGATTTAGATGAGCCCTAGTAATTTCCTTCTTGGTTTCCAGCCTCTGACAGTTGCTGAGGTTGGGAAACAGTACTGTAAGCAGTTGAGCGTCAACACAATAAGAGTGCCATAACCCTGCTTCGCTTATTAAAACAAAATCCTCCTCCCCTCCCCCATTTTATTCTTAAATCGGTTTATAAATGGAGAGCAAATGAGATGAATCAATGGGAAGGTACAGGGATTGGGTGCCAAATCTACAACCCTAATCCTAACCCCCTGACCAACCTTGGCTGGTTCTTATCAGCCAAGCAGGCTTGAACTTGGCTGCAATAGGAGATGGAAGAACATCAGCAAATGCACGACTTTAAGCTAGGTTGGGAAGAAAACAATAGCAAATCGCTTACAGCTTTTTGCTACTGTTGGTTTTGTGGTAAGCTTGACCCAAAAGAGATACTAACTTTGGGGGTTCCAGGTGACTTACACCTGGACTCTCTTGACTTTTGACAGGGCTCACACCTATGGATAAACTACATTATTGGTTGGATTTTTGAGTTGGTGTTTCTTCCAATTAGGCAAATAAGCCTTATAAACTGTAGTGCTTTCCTGAGTGAATCCACCCATGCAGTTGCGATTTTATTATGATACTAGTTAAGCACACAACTTAGAGATGATGATTGCATAAGACAAGCTTTGCCTGGCTGTATTTGAATCAAAGGAGGGAACTCTAGATGCTGACTTAGACCTGACACAGTTGCTTATCCATTAATCAATTGGCTAATTTAATTAGCATGGACAAGAGGTTTTCTTTTCTCCAGCAGCCTTGACTCCCTTCAGTTGAAGATGTTTGATCCAGAACTTAAAACCTTCACAGTCATAATGCATACTGAAAATATGAGCTGAAAACCCTCCTATACCTGAAGAGCAAAAGCAATATGTCAGTGGCAGAATTATAAGCCACCAATAAGGCCATAGGAGAGCACAGACAGAAATAGAACTGAAATTCAGTGTGGGGAACACTTGCTTTGACTATAGAAACTCCATTAAACCCTGGGTATAGGTAATGTCAGGTTTCCTACATTTCAAAGTGAATTCATAAAGATTCTTAAAATAAGCACTTTATTGTGATAAAATGCAGCTTCCCATCTTTCTTTGGCCACCCAATTAAAATAGTAGATTTAACTCTTTTTAAAGAATCTCCATGTGTTGCAACAGCTGTGAAGGTGGTCAAACATATTAAGTATCTGGGGGTGCAGATAACACAATCTGGTCTCTCCACACATCATCCTTAGTGAAGCATGTAAACCAGCGTCTGCGTTTCCTGCATCAGAAGAGGAGAGCACATCTTTCTCCTCCTGTCCTGACCCACTTTTTACAGAGGCACGTTTTAACAAACTGCATCCCTGTTTGGTTTGGTGTTAGCAACACCTCAGATAGAAAGTCCATACAGAGAGTGATGAGGATAGCAGAGAAGATTTTAGGAAGCTCGTTTCCCGTTATTCAGGAGGCTGCTTATAAGTGCCATGTGCTTAGAGCTCGAAGCATTGTTAGAGACCCCACACACCCAATTTACCGTCTGTTTCTGTTGCTCCCTTCTGGCAGGAGGTTTCAAAGTATTTCTAGCAGAACTAGCAGATTCTGTTGGAGCTTTGTTCCCTATGCCATCTGTTAATACACTTGCAAGATTCATTTTTCTCACCATGTATAACGTATACATTTGAACTAGACTGTGATGTTTCTCTGTGTCATTTATGTCTCTCTGTGTGTGGGTATATGTATAATGGTTATCTTTTGAGAGCTGAATGCAATGAACTTTCATTTTATTATATGCTGATTAATGTGCATTTAAAGTGACAATAAAGTTTTATTCTATTCTATTTTGATCCTCTGCCAAGGGCAGAGCACCAAGGCCAGACCAGCTTGTGGATCAGCTGGAGGTGGTGACTCTGCCCCCCAATCACTCAAAGGTACTCCCTGTGAAGAAGTATGCAGAGCAGTTTCAGCTCCCCATCCACATCTGGCCTGATGTAGGGGAGTGTGAGAATTTTGATGTTGGCGTGGTGGCATCGTTTGGACGTCTGCTTAGTGAGGACCTCATCCGAAAGTTCCCCTAGTAAGTATTATACACACAAAAACTTATACACACTTTTTTGACTTATAATTGTTTGGGAGCAACAGCCTCCAAATTCTGGTTGAGGAATAACACTTATCTTTTGCATGCAGTTCATAAAAAATAAAGTAGACATTGCAGCATTCTAGCGTAATGTTATATGCCATTGCAGTCAGACAGATTTCAGAACAAGACTTGGTCGTCTTCTTGTGCCGTATCCGTCATCGGATGTTAGTAATCCTAATTTTATCAACAGCTGCACGAGAAAGTGCTGCTGAGTTTTATCCAAATCAGTCCCTTAGATTTTGAAGCCATGATGTTCTTCTTCCTGGACCTCGTTGGCCTTCAATCTTTCCTTGGGGGATTAAGTGAAGAATGCCATATTTTTCCAGGTACCTCAACACACATCCAAAATATTCTAACTGTAGTTTTTTATGGTTTTGATGATTTCCCTTGGCTTTCCCAGGTGGCTTATCACCTCCTCCTTTCTAATTTTGTCAACCCAGCTTAATGTAACAGCCATCTGTAAATCCACATTTCAAATGCTTCTAGTCTCTTTAAGTGGCTTTATGTCCAGAGAGCAACTCTCCACTCCGTAAAGCAGTATAGAGAAGATGTAGCATCTGACAAGCCTGATTTTCAGTCTTAGGCTTATGTTGTAACTGCAGAAGACCCTTTTCATTTTGAAGAATGCTGTTCGAGCTTTCTCTATCCTTGTTTTTACTTCAAGATTTAACAAGATTTACAAATGATAAAAATGAGGTAATCGATTGGTTTCAGCAAGATACCCAAAGCAGTGTGGGCTGTGAATTTCAGGAGTTATAATCCAAAAACCTGCCTGGCTGGACTTTGGAGAAAGAATTGCATTTTAGATTTTCTTGCTTTGTAAAATCATATATTGTTATAGATTTTTACCTTTTTTCCTTTTTGTGTTTTAGTTATACTGGACGCTGAGATATCAGTAAAAATTACTCCTACATTGCATTATATGTTATGCTTGTTACATTGCTGCATTTTAACTTGATTGTTTTATCCTAAAAACGTCTGGGAGTCATTTTGAAGTCTAATGAAATCCAAAAATATAATAAATTAAAATGTTACCGGATTGTTGTCATCCTGTTCTAATTTCCCAATATTTTGACCTAGTGGCATGCTGAATGTCCACCCCAGCTATCTTCCACGGTGGCGTGGCCCTGCACCAATCATCCACACCGTGCTCCATGGAGATACAGTAACTGGGGTCACAATTATGCAGATCAGGCCTAAGAGGTATGTTGGCTGTTTGATTCAGCATCCAGTCTGCAAAGACCAGGCTGTGAGAATTGCCGGTATTAAGCAAGAATTTGTAAGAAACTATAAGAATTATTAATTATGTAATAATAATTAAAATATAATTATGTGGGTGCTCCATCACTGGAGGTTTTTAAGAAGAGACTGGACAGTCACTTGTCTGAGATGGTTATCCTGCTTGAGCAGGGGGCTGGACTAGAAGACCTCCAAGGTCCCTTCCAGCTCTACTCTATTCTAACATATTCTAAGCAGTGGAACAGCTTTCACTTCTGAAATTGTGTGCGCAGCATTACTGGAGGTTTTCAAGAAGGGATGGGACAACCTTTTGCCCAAAATGGTTTGAAGATTTCCGCACAAAACATGAGGTTGGACGAGAAGACCTCCAAGGTCCCCTCCAATCCTTTGAGTCTTAAGATTCAAAGCCCATTACTAAAAGCCTTTTTAAAACCATTGTATCAATGCAACAGTCATGTTCTCTGTCCAGCCTCTCCACTACCTCTTCCTAGGTTTTTAGATCCCATATAGAATCTGATAAAATGCTTCATGTAATATGTTCTTTTCCCAGATTTGATGTGGGCCCAATTATTAAACAAGAAGAATTTGCCGTTCCACCCCGTTGCTCAGCAAAAAAACTGGAGCCCCTGTTATCCAAAGAAGGCGCAAACATGGTAAATGAATGCCCTTGTTTAATGACATTTTTCTTCAGTGAAAACAATTACAGGAGATACAGATAAATGCCAAAAGTGTTTTCTCTGAGCACCTGTTCTGAGCCCATGGTGATTTCGAAAAATTATAATAACGTCGGAATATCTCTCTGAGAACTTAAGTAGACTGCATAGATTAGTGTTTTTCAAACATGGCAACTTTAGAGTGCATGAACTTCAACTCCTGGAATTCCCTAGCCAGTCTTGCAGAAGTGAGATTCACTTATATTCCCTACCGGTTCACAAATGTGAGTGTGTGCGTTCACCTCGCTTGCACGCACCATGCCTGCACATGTGCATCGCCTTCTGCGCATGCGCAGTGCTTGGGGCAAGTGGGCAAAGTCTTCTGCAGCTGCCACTACCAGTTCGCCTGAACTGAAGAGAAGCCGCTGCAGTCTTCGCATAAACCAGGGTTGTCAAATTCAAGGCTTGTGGGCCGCATCCAGCCTGCGATGTGGTTGTTTCCGGCCTGCGGGGCCATCCTGGAAAATATAAGGGTGCAAAAGTCCACAAATTCCATTTCCAGTAGAGGGTTTGAACCTCATAGAATAAGATCTGGCTACCACAGAACTCCTAGAATGAAATCTGGCTCGGATAAGTCCTAGAAAGGATGGAACTGGTCACTTCCTGTCTCTTAGCAATCAGGGTTTATGAAAAGGAGAATCTGTTCCTCATTTCAACTTACACACAGTCTGGATTTTTTTTCCCCGCAGCTGATTGCTGTTTTGCAAAACTTACCAGAAAGTTTAAGCAAGAAGAAAGAACAACCCAAAGAAGGAGTAACACATGGTATTTATCACCAATTTCATTTGTAATGTAGATATATCTGTTTCCCTGAAAATAAGACCACCCCGGATAATAAGCCCAATCAGGCTTTTGAGTGCATGCGCTAAAATAAGCCCTCCCCCCAAAAATAAGACCGCCCCAAAAATATTGCAACACAGCAGCAGCCATGAGGTGATCACACTCGCTGCTTCCTGCACCCCAAAAATAATAAGACCTCCCCGAAAATAAGGCCAAGTGCTTATTTTGATGGTCAAAAGAAAATAAGACCCTGTCTTATTTTCAAGGAAAAATGGTAGCTGCTTTGCTAAGAAGATGATTGTAACACGTTTTCTCTTATTCTCCCTGCTTCCATCCTCTCTTAAACTCAAATACTTTGTAATGAAGTTGAATGCTTGGCAACCAAGGGTTAATTTTTGAGGTGTCAGGGAACCCCAATGTCTCTTAATTTAAAGAGGGAAGAAGAGGGATCACCCATTACTTTATCAACCGAAAAGAATAGCTTCTAAACAATACCAGGACATTGGAAAATATCCTTTCAATTGTTTAAAGACGCAGGATGAAAAAGTGGTCGATTTTCTTTTCTTTTCCTCTAAAGCTCCTAAAGTCACGGTTGCAATGAGCTGTGTTCAGTGGGAAAAACAAACTGCTGAGCAGATACTAAGGATACATCGTGCCTTAGGAGCTATGGTAAGGTCAGCCTCTCAGGTCACTTATCAATCATACATTTAAATTCAGAAGCAGCTTTTTACAAAAATAATCTTGATTTTCAGCCCTTGGATGAAACTGGGTTGCTGTTGGGAACTACAATATATCACAGAAATGAGTGCACCCCCTCACATTTTGTGAAAATTTACCCTGTTTCCCCGAAAATAAGAAGTATTAATAAGCCCAATCTGGCTTTTGAGTGCATGTGCTAAAATAAGCCCTCCCCAAAAATATTGCAACACAGCAGCAGCCATGAGGTGACCACGCTCGTTGNAAAAAAGGGATCCGAGGGTGGGGCTTCGGGAGGCCAAAAATGGCTTTGTTCGGTGTATAAGACGCACCAACATTTCCACGCTCTTTTAGGGTGGAAAAAGGCATGTCATACTCTGAAAAATATGGAATTGGCAAGGATGTGTGGTATGATGTGGGGTCAGCTCTAGTTCATGAATTAATAGGGGGGCTGGGATTCTCACAGAGCTGCCCATTGAGGAGCAAGGGTACCAAAGTTTATTGGACTTTTTGAGGGACTCTAACAACAGGACTTTCACTTCGTCTTCTTACGCCAGTTCTCTCTCTAGAAGGGCTGTCTGGAAACCTGGCTACGTTCCTTAGGGACTGGAACACATTTTCTCGTGTGTCTCTTTCGTGACAATTGAACGTTAGCGCTATGCCCACGTCGCTCTTCATAATTCTAGAAGAGCTGTCAGAGGTCCCATCAAAACATCGACCCAGAGCTATTTCTTTGGCTGTCCGAGGATCTTGATCGGTCACGGTATAGATCCCATAGTTGTGACCAAGCGGATCGAGAGGAGCCAACATCGTATATTCGCTGGAGTCATTGTTCACGGCCACGGGAAGGTGGTTTACCAGATATTCGTGCAACATGTTGTTCACGCTCTGCCTATAACAACTGCCCTGGGGGATAATCTTCACCAGCGTCCGGTCAATACGTTCTTGGTCGTACAACATGCCGCTGCACTTGAACTCTAGACATGCTGTTGAAAAGTTGCGATGGCCCATAGCACGGATGCTTCTCACGTCTCTGATGCCGTACAACTGGCCGACAGTCCGTGGATGGGTGCCCCCTGTGTTGCGAGATCTCACAATCAATTCAAGGGGTCCGTTGATCCTCACTTTAATATAACATGCCCTGAATTCCATCGGTTTGGGCCACCAAGCCAAGTAGTCTTCCGTCCAGTTCATAGGGTCATCCTCATTAAAAGGAATGGTGTTGTAGTCATATTGGTCTCCTTCTACTCTGTAAAACCTGAAGTGAGCCGCGGAGGGGAGAGCCACTTCACACTCGTGCAGCTTTTCATAAGGGTATATGGGACCATTGCTCTCTTCGGCGATGTTGGGCGTAGGCTTGGCCACGTTGATCCTGAAGGCCGTTTTCTTCATGTTGGGATCCAGATGATCGGTTCTCCTGTACTTGAGCTTGCTGAGGTATGGTTGTGGCACTCCCACAGTGAAAGGGTTAAGTTGGGGGGAGGAAGCAACCGCTTCAAGTTCTTCTCCTCCAAGACTAGCCATGATGTAGGCACTGTAGGCATCTGGGTTTTGGTCATCACAGAAAGCTGGGACACAAACACCACTAGAGCCGGTGACAGCACTGTCAAAGCGCCCCCAAGCTCTAGGGTTGGTAGAATATCCTGGGGTTGGTTCTAAGTTGATAACGGAAACAACCACACCTGCAACCTGTTCACTGCGCAGGAATCTCTCTCTTTGGTAAGCCCGGACCTTGATGTAGCACCGTCTGTTTTCGGGGACGTCCAAGTTGAACAGCCTCCTTTCTCGTATCTCCATGTTGCCCACCAGAAATGTCCTCTCCTCTCGCTTTCCACGCCTGCTGTGGTCCAGTTCAAAATCCCCTTCTTCCTCCCATAAACCGGTTTGTGGATTCAGAGACCAAAGCTTCATCCCTTGCAGGTGTTCCGGCATTTTGATCTGAGCAGAGTCCAGACGGACCTTCACTTGGCCCGCGTTGAGAGATTCTGTAGCCGTTTCATCTGTGAAATCCATAGAAAACATGCCGTACGTCCTCAGAGGAAGCATGTCCCCTTCGGCATCTACAAAATTCAAGTCAGACTGCGCCGTGGCTGCACCGGAGACGTTTCTGGGGTCCAGGAAAGTCACGCTGGCTTTCACTTTCCCTGCGTAGAGTTCTCCGTTCAGCCGGTAAAATGTATTGGGAGGGATTTCAACTTCGGCGATTGGATCTTCTCCTTCCATTTCTCCCAAGGGAATCATGTTAGTCTCCGTGGATTCTAGTGTGATCGGTGGCTTTTTCCTTAACATCCTGACCTCATGGAACACCGCTACACCATTTCTGCTGAACGGCAACACTTTGGTGGTGTTTACAAACTTCTGCAGGCGGTCCACAAAGGTGAGAACCAGCCTCTCGGTGTCTGGGGGCACTTGCACAGAAAAGGTGCCCTTGTAGCCAGTCATGCTGATCCTGTTGTTCCCCATATAGATATGACCAAACCTCATGGGCTCTCCCGTATCAGACGCCACAGCTCGTCCTCGCACGGTGACTTTGACCTCGGTGCACTTCTGGCAGCCACACTCCACCGGGACTTTGATGGGAAGCGTGTAGCCGGCACACGTTATATCCCGTGTTTGCATCTTGGAGACCCCACAGCAGTAAGTTATGGTGTCCTTGCACCAGAAACCTTCACGTAATGTTCCGGAGCATGTGGTAGCCGAACATCTACCAACGTCATAGTAGAAAGAATTGGTCGAGTTCTGAAAGCAATCGTGGGGCAGTCGGATGAGATAACTCTCTGGCCTGGACTCACAGGGTGTTCGGTTCTTTCCTGTTAAAATCAATTCCATAGGTTACTTATCAAGTTGTGGCCATCAATGGTAAGAGTTGTCTTCAACCAGGGATGGGATACCTTTTTGATTGGTGGTAGGTCATTTTTTACAAAGATCATAATATGGAGCAGGGGGGAACCTGCAAATGGGCAACTTCATACATTGAGGGGACACCAGGACTTGTTCTAGATAAGAGAAAGGGGCATTTGGGTTTTTCTAGAGGTTTTTCCCTCTCCCCCAGATAGAGAAACTTGTCCTTTTGGATTTTTCTAGACTTTTTTTCTAGATTGGGGGGGGGATCTTGGATTTTTCTAGATGTTTTTATATGGGGGGGAGCATCTTGGATTTTTCTTGAACCCCCCCCCCCCCCCCCCGATAGAGAAAAGAGGATCTTGGATTTTTCTAGAATTTTTCCCCCAGATAGAAAAAAAAATGGCATCTTGGATTTTTCTAGAATTTTTTCCTAAATAGAGAAAATGCTATTTTGGATTTTTCTAGAAGTTTTTCTCTCTCCCCCAGATAGAAAAAAATGGCATCTTGGATTTTTCTAGATAGAGAAAAGGGCATCTTAGATTTTTACCCCATTTAAAAAAATGCTAAACCCAGGTGGAGGGGTGGGAGAGTGACAGTTTCTTTATAATCCTGCCTCAAAAGAGCAAAATCCTTTTGTTGTCCACCCTGATTTAACTTTGGTTTAAATTACAAGAAAAAGTCCTCACAAAAGTAGAAATTTCAGGTGGTTCTCGAGTTATGACCACACAACTGAGCCCAAAATTGCTGCTGCTAAGCGAGACAGTTGTTAAAGTGAATTTTTTACGACCTTTCTTGCCACCGTTATTAAGTGAATCATTGCAGTTGTTAGTGATACAGTTGTTAAGTGAATCCGACTTTGCTTGTCAGAAGGTCGCAAAAGGTCAACACAGGACCCTAGGACACTGCAACCGTCATAAATATGAGTCAGTTGCTAAGGGTCTGGATTTTGATCCAATGACCATGGGGTTGCTTCAAAAGTGTCATAAGTGTGGAAAACGGTCATAAAATGTTCTCTAAAGGAAAAGTTGTAACTTGAGGACTACCTCTGTGCGTTTTGTATGTTATGCACTTCACCTCATGTTATGTTCATACTATATCTTAGCAAGAACTTTATCCCTAAGGGATTCTAATCTTGTTGTAGGCATGGTTTCTCTTGTGTGTCTCTCTTTCAAAGTCTAGAGAGTTGGAAGGGACCTTGGAGGTCTTCTAGTCCAACCCTCTGCTCAGGCAGGAACTCCTATACCATTTCAGATGTCAATCATTTCAGTCCTCCAGGCATGGTTGTCCCAAAGATGCTTTTTCAAGAGGCAAGCGGATTTTCTGGTTTTTCTTTGAAGGCTGTTTTTTTCTTTCTCACTCAAGAAGCTTCTTCAGCTCTAACTTCCATTCCCCACCATCCAGCCAGAGCTGAAGAAACTTCTTGGATGAGAAGCGAAACGTCTTCAAAGAAAAATCAGAAAGTCCCGTTGCCTCTTGAAAAAGCACCTTTGGGACATACAATTTCAGACAAGTGGCTCTCCAATCTTTTCTTAAAGTCTTGTAGTTTTGAAGCACTCACCCACAACCTCTGGAGGCAAGTCATTCCATTGATTAATGGTTCTCACTGTTAGGAAATTTCTCCTTAATTCCAGGTTGCTTCTCTCCTTGCTTAATTTCCATCTGTTGTTTCTTTTCTTGTCTTCTGGTGATTTGGAAAATAGCTTGACACACCCCCCCTCTTCTTTATGGCAACCATAATAATAATAATACCTACCACTACCACCACCTATCCCAGACCTATCNGAAATGGGTCTCCTGCTTGGGTGGAAGGTTGGACTAGATGACCTACAAGGTCCCTTCCAAATCTTATTAATCTGTTAATCTTCCAATAGAAGAGACTATCTATTGCTCAAGGCTAAGACATGGAGCGCTTGGTGCTGTCTGAGCTAAGTTGTTAGCTTCCAGATGTTTCATGATCCAACTAGGTAATATCATCTGTACCCCATCAATGCATCTTCAGGGTATTGATGATATAACCTAATGGAGCAATAAAATGTCTGCAGGCCACCAATCAAGCCAATGTTTCATTACCCAACTAGCTAACATCATCAGTGCTGGAAGGCAAACCCCCCACTCCCTTCTATCACTGATGATGTTTCCTAGTTGGGTAATGCAATGTCTGCAAGGAAACAACCAAGCTGAGTCCTGAGGCCTCCTCTAGCATCTTCCTTCCCAAATTATCCTCCCATAAGATCCCTTGCATCTAAATCCATCAGGGCCGTTCTTCTTACAGGTAGTCCTCGACTTACAGCAGTCCTTTTAGTGACCATTCACTAAATTCAACGGCACTGTAAAAAAAGTGGTTTAGGATCGTTTTTCACAGTCGCAACCTTTGAAGCCTCCCCTTGATCACGTCATCAAAATTCAGAATGCTTGGCAACCGGTTCTGTTGCTGTTCCCAGGGTCATGGGATCCCCTTTTGCCACCTTCTGACCAGCAAAGTTAATGGGGAAGCCCGATTCACTTTACAACCATGTTACTGACTTAACAACTGCAGTGATTCTCTTAACGATGGCAAGAAAGGTCATAAAGTGGGGCAAAACTCACTCAGCAGATGTCCCCCTCAATCGGCAATGGAAATGTTGGGCTCAAATTGCGGTCATAAGTCAAGGACTCCCTGTACTTGCACGCACCCCCTCCTGAAAAATTAAGCACCGCTCTTACCCGAAGGACAGAGAAAACGGACTGAATAATTGAAGCAGGTTTGCCCCGGGGGCTGCTCCTTATTCAGGCACCAGAAGCCCTTGTGGACACTGGAGTGGACCACCTGGCCTGAACTGGTGGCAGGGACCCAATCGGTAGTCCGGGCTTCGATCTGGATGGGATTTGGACACACCCTGTTCCGGTAATAGAAGCGAATGGCATCTAAGCGCTCGTAATCCCCGTTCCCTCCAGGATGATCAATATTGAACCAGCTGGTCCACGATTCTTGGTCTGAAGGAGAAAGAGAGAAGGAAGGAGTGCAGATTGTATGGCAGCAGAAAGGGGAATTGTCATCCTTACCATTGTAGGAGGTGGTGGGATTCAAATTTTTTTACTACCGGTTCTGTGGGCATGGCTTGGTGGGCAGGGCAGGGGAAGGATACTGCAAAATCTCCATTCCCTTCCACTCCAGGGGAAGGATACTGCAAAATCTCCATTCCCTCCCCACTCCAGGGGAAGGATACTGCAAAATCCCCATTCCCTCCCCATTTCAGGGGAAGGATACTGCAAAATCTCCATTCCCTCCCCACTCCAGGGGAAGGATACTGCAAAATCCCCATTNAATGTGCTGTCCCCTCAAAATAACGCAACATACAGCCATTAATGCCTTAACTGCTGGCAAAAAAAAGTGTCATTTCTTCAGTGTTGTCACATGAAAAGATATACTTAAATATTTACAAAATGTGAGGGGGGGGTACTCAACTTCTGTGATATGCTGTATATTCTGGAATTACAGTGTAATTTCTTTTTAAAATAGGGAAATATTTTTGTTTGATGGGATGGATTTTTTAATGGATAAAATGGAGCATGTATAAAAATATGCCATACAAATGAGTAAGAAGAGTTTGAGTTCCTCTTACTGAACTCTGAGTCTCCTCTCGGAATTTAACTTGGCAGAGATAAAAATGCAAATTCTTTTGGTTCTACTATGGCTCCCTTCCGATTAAAATACAATTAAAATACAGTACCTAGTACACAGGTGTCAAACTTGCCGCGTCACATTGCCATCGACGACATTTTTCCCATTTGCTGGTTGTGGCTTGGGGTGGATGAGCGCATGACCTATTCAAACTGGGATGCCAGTTTGACACCACTGAGCTAGTAAATTAGGTAAAGGTAAAGGTTCCCCTCGCACATGTGTGCTAGTCGTTCCTGAGTCTAGGGGGCAGTACTCATATCTGTTTCAAAGCTGACGAGCCAGCGCTGTCCGAAGACGTTTCCATAGTTATATGGCTGGCATGACTCAACGCCGAAGGCGCACGGAACGCTGTTACCTTCCCATCAAAAGTGGTTCCTATTTTTCTATTTGCATTTTTAATATACTTTCGAACTGCTAGGTTGGCAGAAGCTGGGACAAGTCACATGAGCTCACTCAGTTATGCAACGCTAGGGATTCGAACCGCTGAACTGCTGACCTTTCTGATTGACAAGCTCAGTGTCTTAGCCACTGAGCCACTGTGTCTCTTAATCTAGATCAGCTAACTACTTAAACCAAATTCATTTCAGTATGAAAAATGTTCACATTCATCTTTCCTTGGGATTGGGAGGAAAAACTGGCCTGTTTTTTCTAACAGACCCTGAAAGTAATCATGTTACATTTGACATAAGAGGGAATTAGGTTCTATTTGAAGTGAACAAGAATAATTTAACCGAAATGTATGTGATCTTCTGCAACTATTTAACTTACACAGTGCTGTATATTTTTAGATGCCTCTAAAGACGCTGTGGATGGGTTCCAGTGTAAAACTATTGGACTTTGAAGAAGAGGAAATGCTACCAGATTTCACTGGTACTTATAAGAAACCTTTAGCACTCTGATTGAGAACATCGTAATACTGGCAGTGTCTAAATAACAACAGACGGTCTGTGAAACAAAACTGAACACCTTCTGACTTCCCATTTTGCAAATACTTCTTCTTTCCTTGTTGGAATCAAACTGCTTGAGTGCATTCTTCTTTCTAAGAACATTAAATACCTTGTCTTTAACCTATAAATCTTAGAATGATCTGTAGAAAAATGTGGCATGAAAAGAATGGCACTCTGTTTGGTGCCTACAAGGAAAAGAGAGGAATATTCTCTTTTGGTTGCCCTCTGTGACAATGTATAGGACATTAGCAATAGCAATTGCAAGAATAGAATGGCATGACATGGAATGGAATGGAATGGAACGGCACGGCATGGCACGGAACGGCACGTCACGGAACAGAATAGAATAGAATACAACAGAATATGGAATGTAGAGTGGAGTGGAGTAGAATAGAATAGAGAATAGAACAAAATACAGAACAGAATGGAAACGAGACTAGAATACGAATAGCAATAGCAATAGCACTTAGACTTATATCCCACTTCACAGTGCTTCACAGTCCTCTCTAAGTGGTTTACTATGTCAGCTTCTTGCCCCCCAACAGTCTGGGTCCTCATTTTACCAACCTGAGAAGGATGGAAGGCTGAGTCAACCTTGAGCCGTCCAGAATCGAACTCCTGGAGTGAGCAGTGAGCCTGCAATACTGCATTCTAACCACTGCGCCACCGCAGCTCTTTGTGAATATATTCAGTTCTTTGTAGTATTTAAGCGAATCAGCCTTCCCCTATAAGAGTTAACCAAAGTATGATTTTAATAACACTTTGGAACTTGGATTTTACTGTTGAAGAGGCAAGAATGACCTAACTGTTTATATGTTCTATAGATAAGGGTGTAGCTGAAAAAGAGGCAACTCCAGGGTTGGTGTTGTACCACAAGCAATTAAAGATCCTGCTGATCCGTTGCAAGGTAGGTGTGTGTGTGTTCATGTAATATTCTTACCCCTTTTTAAAGGAGGTTGGGCTCCCAAAATGCGTGGTGTTTCCATTTCATCTGAGAGATGAAGAAAGAGAATGGCAGTCAAATGTAACATTTCTAGTATTTCTTGGGTTACACTGTCCCTCCTCACTACTGTTCATATTAAAATCTTATCAACCAAGTCCCTGAGTCTTCTCTAAAGAGCGCCCATAGGTTTTCTAAGTTGCCCTTTACAAATCAAAATGTATGTATGTTTTTTTAAATTTTTAAAATGCATCTAATAATGCCAGGATGCTGGCATTCAAGATTAGGTTCCACCTAAGCTTAGTGGCTAAGACATTGAGCTTATCGATCAGAAGGTTGGCAGTTCGCCCAGTTTGAATCCCTAGTGCCATGTAGCAGAGTGAGTTCCCGTGACTTGTCCCAGCTTCTGCCACCCTAGCAGTTCGAAAGCATGTAAAAGTGCAAGTAGAAAAATAGGGACCACCTTTGGTGGGAAGGTAACAGCGTTCCGTGCGCCTTCAGAGTTTAGTCATACCGGCCACATGACCATGGAGACGTCTTCGGACAGTGCTGGCTCTTCGGCTTTGAAACGGAGATGAGCACTGCCCCCTAGAACTCCGCCCCCTAGAAGAGACTAGCACATATGTGCGAGGGGAACCTTTACCTTTATCTTTAAGCTTCTTGCAATGGAATTACTTTTGGTGAGTTTGTAGATTTTGCTCAGCTTTTGTGTGTGTCTCTCTGTGTGTGTATTCTCTCCCCTCTTTTCCCTTTCTAGGAAGGTTGGGTTGGAGTCAAAACTATTATACATAAAAAGAAATTGACGGCAACCGACTTCTACAATGGCTACCTACATTCATTGTCACAGAACAATTCTCAAACGGCTCTCAGGAACTGCCGGTTTCAAACACTCAAGCTGACCACAGTGAAAAAGAACCCGAAAAATTCACCGGCTGTGCAGAATAATTGTGATACAATTTCCAGTAATGCGTGAAAGTATTAACTCTGCATGAAGAGCTAAATTGGAAGCATCTCAGCTTGTCCCAGAATTGATCGATGGAAAACAGTGATGGGAGAAAATAAACAATCATAAAGACTGTGCTGTGCAGCTGATATTGTGGCGTGGATAACACAAAGGACCAGTAACCTGGACAGTGTGTTTATTCTGCCTATTTAAAGCTTCAAAACACTCTCAGCCTTGCAAGTCTCATTTTTCAGGAGCCATACTTTCCGCTTCTGGATCCATCTTTTTCCAACTTAAAAAATGCAGTTGAGCAGGATTAACTAAGTTAAGGACACACATGTTGTATTATTGAACAATAAATGATTTTATACATCTTTGTGTAGGTATGTCGCACGAATCGTTGCAACGACTGATATTTTAGAATGCTGACTTGTGTAATAGAGTTGGTTCCACATACAAATCCATCCCTAAGGTCCTTCAGAATCCAGAATCATCAAATTGAGAATCCAAGAATTCCCGATAAGTAAACTTTATTGTAGAATAGCTAAGAATTGTAGCCAGTGAGGATACACAAGTGTAAATTCACACAGCTGTACACAAAAGTGTTATTCAGCCCTCCCCAACATCTCCTTTTACAACATTTTCTTGCCCTGTCTAATGGACTGCCCTTAGAATAACAGAGTTGGAAGGGGCCTTGAAGGTCTTCTAGTCCAACCCCCTGCTCAGGCATGAAACCCTACACCACTTCAGACAAATGGTTATCCAACATCTTCTTAAAAACATCCAGTGTTGGAGCATCCACAACTTCTGGAGGCCAGTTGTTCCACTGATTAATTGTTCTGTCAGGAAATTTCTCCTTAGTTCTAAGTCGCTTCTCTCCTTGATTAGTTTTCACCCATTGCTTCTTATCCTGCCCTCAGGTGCTTTGGAGACTAGCTTGACTCCCTCTTCTTTGCGGTAGCCCCTGAGATATTAGAACACTGCTATCATGTCTCCCTTAGTCCTTTNAGCACTGGGGCGTCCGAAAGCCCTGTTTCTGTGTCTGACATAGAGGTGTCCCATCTCTCTGGCGGACATAGCACTGGGGCGTCCGAAAGCCCTGTCGCTGTGTCTGACATAGAGGTGTCCCGTCTCTATGGCAGACACAGCGCCGGGGCTGCCGCTGTGTCCGACATAGGGCGGCTTTTGCCCACTTGCCTCACCAGCCATAAACCTTACCGCATGTCACTGGGGTCAACTTTATTTTTCCAAGGCAAAAGAAGAAATATTGGATGGAAGCTAATCAGGGAGAGAAGCAATCTGGAACTAAGGAGAAATTTCCTGACAGTGAGAACAATGCATGAATGGAATGGATTGCCTTTAGAAGTTGTGGATGCTCCATTGCTGGAGGGTTTTAACAAAAACTGGACATTCATTTGTCTGAAATGTTATAGGGTCTCCTCTTGAGCAGGGGGTTGGGCTAGAAGACCTCCAAGGTCTCTTCCAACTAAAGGAAGAGGAGAAGGGGAAGGAAGTCCAATTGAGATTTAAGGCATTCCATGAAACATTAAAATACCCATCTGAAAACTAGTCTAGACTTGAAATATAACGCAGGTGCATTTCCTGTTGCCCTCTGGGTTTCAGATCCCAGCATTTCCCTTGCCAGCCCATGAAAATGCTGGGAATGTGTCCAGGTTGATGTTCCTCACATGAAGATGCTGCTAGCTTTGCACCATTTGGAACTATAGGTACTCCTCAATTTACAACTGTTCATTTAGCAACCATTCCAAGTTACAAGAGCACTGAAAAAACAGTGACCTACAATCAGTCCTTGCACTTAAGCATCCCAGCATCCCTGTGGTCACATGATCGATTTGCCACATTCTCCATTTTCTTCTGACAAGCAAAGTTAATGGGGGAAGCCAGATTCGCTTAATGGCCTTGGATGATGATGATGATGATGATGATGATGATGATGATGATGATGATGATGATGATGATTATTATTTATTTATTTATTTATTTATTTATTTATTTATTTATTTATTTATTTAAAACCTGTGATTTGTTTAATGGCCAGGCAAATAAAAGAAGGTTGCAAAATCAAGCATGTCTCACTGAACCAACTTGCTTAGCAATGGAAATTTATGGTCCCAATTTGCTTCTAAATCAAGGATTATCTTTAATTTTGGTAGTAATCAGCGTAGATTTTTGTCCTGTAACCTCATTTTAGGGATGCGGAGGCTCAGTGGCTGAGACGCTGAGCTTATCGATCAGAAAGGTTAGCAGTTCAGTGGTTAAAATCCCTAGTGCCGCGTAATGGAGTGAGCTCTCATTACTTGTCCCAGCTTCTGCCAACCTAGCAGTTCGAAAGCACGTAAAAATGCAAGTAGAAAAATAGGGACCACCTTTGATGGGAAGGTAACTGTTCTGTGCGCCTCCGGCATTGAGTCATACCGGCCACATGACCACGGAGTCGTCTTCGGACAGCACTGGCTCTTTGGCTTTGAAACAGAGTTGAGCACCACCCCCTAGAGTCAGAAATGACTAGCACATATGTTCGAGGGGAACCTTCATCTTTATCTTTAACCCTATTTTAGTGTCTTACCACCAATATCTGCCAGGTAGTGGATTTCCAGTGGCATGACAACAGAATGACACACTCTGACCCTCTCTTCTGGCTTTGTTTCCTGGATGCATGGTCATGTATGGTTTTTCTAAAAGAGAAAAAGCATTAGAATCTTTCCTCAACAATTGGGACGGCCAGTTTGGCTTCCATCTGTATTTCATTCTGACTCATCTGGAAGAGTCTGGAAGATGGGCGTACGCTAACCTCAACCCCCTACAGAAACATGGACGTCAGTGCCTAGAATTCCCCCCCCCCGCACTGATGGTGGGATCATCTCTGTCTCTCTCTCTCTCTGTCTGTGTCTCTCCCTCTTTCCCTCCCTCCCCCCCTCTCTCTGTCTCTCTCTATCTGTCATCAAAATAGCTGTGTGTGTGTGTGTGTGTGTGTGTGTGTGTGTGTGTGTGTGTGTGTT